GCCGAAACCTGCTCAGCCACTTCTGAGAGGATACTGATCAAAGCGTGCAGGGTTGAGGACTGGGTTCTGTACCTCCTCCCTGCCTTTCCCGTGAGGACGAGGGGCCCCTCCTTTCCTGCAAAAGCAGCCCCTGTCTTGGGGGCTCTGTCGCCTGCTGCTTCCCCATCTCTAGGGGACCCTAAGAGGCTCCACCACTTTAAAGGCAGCCTTTGGAACAAGGAGGGGCAGGAATCCACTTCAGCCCAGGATGTGACAGCTGGCTGGCCACTGGCCACGGAGGTCCAGCAACATGCTTTCCCAGTCGAGTGGGAGGACTTTGGCGGCATCCTGGTGTAGGGTGTGTCTGTCTCCACCAAACGGGAGTCCCCTGCCCAGGGCCAATCATGGCTCCAGCCTACAGTGGGTGCAACACATGCTTGATGGAAAATGGGGTCCAATCTGGGGCAAATGAGGAGGAGGGCAGAGCCACCACTCCACCCTGCAAGCGGGAGCAGGAGCCCTCACGCAGGCCCTGGCCATGGCACCCGGGGAAGGCCGCTCCTCACCCTCCCAACCCCCCTCATCGGCCCCCGCAGCAATGTGTGCTGTGCAGTCTGGGGCACGCAGAGCTCTGGCTGTTCTCCATGGCAGAGGCGGCCTCCGTGGCGTTCAGTCCTGGGGGCTGGAGAGGACACAATGGCAGGGAATGAGCTGAGACTGGAGTCCTCATCCTCACCCACGTATGGCCATCACCTGAGGCCTCGAAACCAGGTGATGGGCCGCCAAGTTGAGGGCTCTGGCAACCACCTTCCCCATGGGAGCCCGGGCGTGCAATGGGCAGTGCATTTGCATGCAGCACCATGGCCCAGGGAACAGAGGTCCCGAAGATGGGAAGGCAGGGTCCTGTTTATTCCAGAGTGATTTTCAGATCTCTCTTGCCAGACTGGGAGGTGGATGCAGTGGGGAGCTGGAGCCAGTCCCTGGAGCCCAGCGCTGAGCTCTTTGTGATGGAGGGGTGGGGTGAGCCACAGGATCTAGGTCACCATGCTCTGGCCCTGCTCTCTGCCTTTCGCAAGCACGTGCTCTTGTGGGATGTTTGTCATGCTTCGATGCATGACATAGGAGAATATCAACATCGGTGCCATTTCACATCTCTTCATTCATCTGCTGTTCTTCCGCCTTCAGCTTCTCACAAAATCACAGAACTGCAGTGAGGACAGAGAGCCTGCCGGGACAGCCTGGGGATGGTCCTGTGCAGCCCCCTCAGGCAGCATCCCTGTGGGGGTTCCCCTCCGCCCCCTACCCTGGGGAGCTCTTCCCGGCTGAGTCACACTGCACACCTGGTCCCTGCCCTGGGCTGCTCTCTGCATTATCTTGCAAGCGCTGTCCCAGACCCCTTCAGGGGACTCTGAAGGCCCATCAGATGTGGCTGCGGACCCACATCCCTCAGAACCTCAGCTCTGGATCCCAGGCTGGCTCCCTGCCGTGGAGCACAGGCGCCCTTTGTAGCACTCACTCCAGCTGCCCAGGGAATCGGGGACTTGGTGTGGACCGAGACTCAGCCCCCTTGAAGCCCTGTTCTGTCCACCCCTGCAAGACATAGGCGGCTTTAACCAGGGCCAGGCAGCACCCTCCAGGCAGAGACAGCTGCTGTGGATTCTGTGCTCTTCTAATGGGCACGTCTTCCCATCGGTGACGAGGACTGATTTGTGTAGTGACCCCCTTACATTTTTCTGACAAGGAAATCAAGGAAAACATTCTCCAGTAGAATCCTCACTGTACACACACTTCCCCTTGTGCTCGGTGACAGCCACTGCTTTCGGCAGCAGGGAGGACGCCCCAGAGCCTCCTGGTCTCCGCATACCCCGCTGAGCTGGGCTGAGCACACAAGCACCCCTCTGCAGCCAGGAGAGGTTTTGGGATTCAGAATATGCAGTCTGAAGCTCCCCAGAGCCTGGCTCTTTAGTCAGGCCCTCCTTGCCGGCCCTGTGAATCCAGGCCTAGGAGCCTGTGCCTCCACCCAGCAGGAGCTGATGCTGCTGAGCTTCCCAGGTGCCAGACAGGGGCTGAGTGTGGGGGCCAGGGACCCAGTCGGGAGTCAGCTGCCTGCCAGGCTATGCCCTGCAGAAGAGAGGCAGGCATAGGGCATGGTGTGCCCAGAGGGGCTGGAGACAGTGCTCCTGGGTCAGCAGGGCTGGAGAAGGGCAGCCCAGGCAGGGGGCACACTAGTGCCAAGGTGCAGAGGCATGAAGCTGCAGGTCACACTGCCTGCCTCGGAGCCCCCAGGTGCTGGGGGTGGGTTCAAATCCCACAGGGTTGGCTGGGCAAGGGCTTCAGGAACAGCAGGGACAGAAGCATGAGAGCAGTAGAAAAATGCAGGGGTCAGGAGGGTCATCCAGGCCCCATCAGGTTACTGGTGAATTCAGGGGATAGAAGGGATGTGAGCTCAGGCCTCAAGCAGCTGCCTGCCGGACAGCCCCTGGCTGGGCCGTGACCAGGTCATAGCCCTCTGCAGGAGTCAGGCCTGGGCTCCATGGTCCTGGGTTCTAGTCTCAGCTGTTTAGTCTCAAGCAGATCTCCACTGCACCCTGACCTCCACTTCCTGCTTCTACTCGGGGTGAAAAAAACACCCCATTCCCAGCACAGGTCAGGGTTGCCCGAGTTGATCATGCAGGTAGGCCTGTGGGGCTCTCTGGTGCCTGACACCCTGCATGCATCTTGGCCTCTTCCATCTTCCTCGGCCTCAGATGGACTGAGACATCTGGAATCCGTCAGTGGTAGCCTCAGCCCTACCGGCAGGTGACAGGCTTAGGAGTGTGGGGACTTGTGTCACCTGGAACAAACTGCTCCCCCTCTGAAGCCTGTCACCTACAAGACCTGCTCCCAATTGGCAGGTGCCTTATTCTTTCGTTGCCATCACTGTTGCCACCTCCCCACCAGCTCCATCCTTCTGCGGGTCCCAGCCCGGCAGCGCTCACTCCCCTGTGTGCTGAGGGAGGCCCAGCATGGTTCAAATGCGGCCTCTGGAGAATTTCTTCACTAAGGCTTTTTCTGAAAAGAGTCAAGCTATTTGTAGCCCAAGTTGGTTGAACAGATTTTTCTTGGTGTAGCTTATTTTTTTATTCATTAACTTCTTTTCCTTATGAATTAAAAAATAGCATTTTTTTTTCACACAGGAGTGCTTTATTTACTTCTTTTTGTACCATAGCCAGCGCTTCCTCTGCTTGCTGGGGAAAGTGGATGCACACACCCACTTGGGCAGGCATTTTTCTTTTAAGCCATGGCATCTTGGAGAGGCAAGTGTGTGTGTTCAGACCACTACCCCGTGACTCCAGCCCCCCTGATATCAGCCACAGGCCCAAGGCTTGGGTTTTTGTTTGTGTTTGTTTGTTCGTTTGTTTGTTTTTTGAGACAGGGTCTCACTCTGTTGCCCAGGCTGGAGTGTGACAGCACCGTCACGGCTCACTGCATGCAGCCTCAAACTTCCAGGCGCAAGTGAGCCTCTGGCCTCAGCCTCCTGAGGAACTGAGACTACAGGCTCATGGCACCATGACAGTTTTTTATTTATTTACTTTTTTATTTTTTGTAGAAACGGGGTCTCACGTTCTCGCCCAGACTGGTCTCAAACTCTTGGCCTCAAGTCATCCTCCCATCTTGGTCCCCGAAAGTGCTACAATGATAGGCGTGAGCCACCAGGCCTGCCTGGTTGGCTTTTTGGTGAACAGGAGCCTAATAAGGGTTTCACTGGGCTGTCAGCCTCCATTGTGGTGGCCAGTATCTCAAAGCCTCACCTGGCAGAACTGGAGACACATCTGCTGACCGATGCCCTCATGACCCATTTTCCTGACTTCAGAAACATCGCATGCAGACACTTTGCCACTCAGCAGGCCTCCCAGCTAGACAGGGTACAGCCTCGGTGTGTCTGTGGAGCGACTCGGGCTGTCTCTGCACTCACAGTCATGGTGACCAAAGTCCCAGAGTAAGGGAGCAGATGCCGCTCCTCCTTCCAGCCCAGATATTTTACATGAGGCGCTGACCCAGGACCACCCTTGACTTCACTCGTCCAGGGAGTGGCTCCCAGTCTTATATATTCCATCAACCTCCAGGCTGGCCGTCCCTTAAACACTGGTCTCCAATCTAACTGCATTTCTGTAAGTAATCTTTTGGGACAGACTTTTTTAAAAAGATCATGTTTATGCTGTACTCCTCATCTTTCTTGTCTTCTATCTGCAGACTTGTTTTAAAACCTATTACTCCTGTATATGTGTGCCTCCCACCCTTTGAGCTATGCCCTTGACCTGCTGTACACTTGCCTCAAGGCCAAGTTCAAACCCCCTAACCCAAAGCAGTCCAGAGCTGCCCTGCCACCTGAGCCATGGGGAGGGGCGCTGCGCTGGTCCCTTTCACAGGCTGTCTGCCTCCCCCTGGGCAGGGCTTCTGTCTCTCCTCCTTCGTCTCCACAAGCACAGGCTTGCCTGGGTCAGCACGCAGTGAATAGCCAACCATCATTTTCCAATTATTTCCAAAAAGTCTTGTCTATGCTTAGAAGTCCTGCCTGTTCCTTTGAGTGTCCCTACCCGCCCCCACACACACTTCTTTTCTTTTTTTTTTTTTTTTTTTTTTTGAGACGGAGTCTTGCTCTGTGGCTCATGCTGGAGTGCAGTGGTGTGATCTCGGCTCTCTGCAACCTCTGCCTCTGGGGTTCAAGCGATTCTCCTGCCTCAATCTCCCGAGTAGCTGGGACTACAGGCATGTGCCACCATGCCCAGATAATTTTTTGTATTTTTGGTAGAGACGGGGTTTCATGGTGTTAGCCAGGATGGTCTTGATCTCCTGACCTCGACACATATTTCTTTATCGAAATTCCAATTTCTCCAAAGCTCAGAAACATAAAGGTTTTTCAAAACTCAGTGGCAAAGCTGGATCTGAACTGATGCGCCATCACTTACTGTCTTTCTTTCCAGTTTACCTCAATACTCATGTGTTTTGTCCCCAAAATATAAATGGGTCTGATTACGAAGAACAGTCCCAGGCCCCAAAGAGGTGCCACATAATGTATGAGTATACAAAAAAGCCTGAGTTCCAAACACACCTTGGATGAGGAGCTGGGATTGCAGGTGGCGGGTCTCCACACCGGTTGGAGTTCTAGACCCAGAGGAGGGTCATGGTTGATGGGGCTCTGGCCACAGAATGCAGCAGAGCAAGGACTGTGGAACAAAGACGCGCTTACATGAATTTTTCACTTACTGTGCTGGGTGCTGGTGATTCAGAGATGGAAAGGTCCTAGCGACACCCCCCTCCACCCAGGGAGCCCATGGGCCAGCAGAAGGACCAAGGAGCACAGAACGGGTGGGGAGCAGAGGTGGGTTCCCTGGCTGCGGAGGTACTGTCCATACGGGGTGCAGGAGACATCTCCATACAAGGGGGCCCTCACCTGGGGATGTGATGACTGCAAGCCTGACAGTCTCAAAGCCTTCAGAGGTGCTGCCTGGGGACACTTTGGGGAAGTCCAGGCGGAGGACACCTGGGAATGTGATAGTGACACAAATGACCGGAGAGACTTGCTCTCAGCCACTGAGTCTGGCTGACTCACTGAAGATTAGGGCCTGAACTTCCCCCTCTGTAAATTGGGTGCAGGCTCAGGCCCTGCCTTCACAGTGCCCCTCGGTCCCCTACAAGCCTTTTCTGCAGGGTGGGATAGGGTCTGCCTGGAGCATCCCCACAGCCTATGGGTCAGCAGAGAAGCAGGCGCAGAGTTGGGGTGAGATGGTCAGGGCCGGTCCTGCCCGACACCTCAGCTCACTCCTCTTCACAAATAATCCCATTTTACAGCCCAGGAAAAGAGAGGCCGGACCACTGCCCAAAAGCCTGTGGTCTGCAGCCTGCCAGGTGCGTCTGCTCGCAGAGCAGGTCTGCTCAGCACCGAGCGGTCAGCAGAGGAAAGGCTGGGCACTGGCCAGCCGCACCGGGACCATCCCTGCCCAGGCTACCGCCTCCGGAGTCCACCGCGACCTCGGCGGGGTGGGGCGGAGCGTGCAGGGCCTGGCCGGGAAAGCCAGGGCAGGCTTTAGAGAAGGGCCACCGGACGGATGGTCCCCGGGGAGGACCGGCGTGGCCCGGGTCCCAGCGAGGGCGGAGGGAGCGCGGGCCGGGCCTGGGCTGGGGCACCGGGGAGGTTGCGGGGAGGAGGCCGGTAACAGCCTTGCAGGGCGGGGGCGGTGCGGGTCTGGTCCGGTGACCCCGGGCGCGGCCGGGGCTGTGGGAGGCGAGGGCGTCGCCCCGAGGCCGCGGGCGCGGGTCCATGGTGGGGGGCCTGGGTCCCCGCCCCCCCCGGGCCGCGCCGGGTCGCGCGTGGGCGCGGCGGGCGCCGATTGGCTGCTGGGCGCGCGGGCGGGGCGGGCGGCGGCGGCGGCGGCGGCGCGGAGGGGCCGCTCACCCCGCAGCCCGGCCTCGGCCTCCGCCGCTTGTCGCCGCGCCCCGCCCGCGCGCCCGCCCCGCACGTCCCCCGCCGGCGGCCACCATGAGCACAGGCCTGCGGTACAAGAGCAAGCTGGCGACCCCAGGTGAGCCCAGCGCCTGCCCGCGTGCCCGCGCGCGCCTTTGTCCCCGCCGCCCGCGCGCCTCTCACCGTGTCTCTCCGTCTCTCCCCCTCCCGCCGGCCCGGACCCGCCCGGAACCGGACGCGGACCCGGACTCGACCCCGACCCCGATCCCGCAGAGGACAAGCAGGTACGTGCGCGCCATCGCTCCCCTGCCGGGAGACCCGGCTGGCTGTCACCCATTGTGACACTAGCGCCGCGGGCGCCCAGGCGCGACCCCGCCCCCGCCGGCCCTCACCCAGCCCTGTCGCGATCACCGATTGTCAGCCGGGCAGTGCCGCCGCGCCTGGGGCTGCAAAGGGGAGGAGTGGGGGCCCTGGTCCCCTGACCACCGTGCACCCCTCCCCAGGATGGGGGGATGGGCAGAGTGTCCCCCTCCCAGAGGGCCAACGCCAGCATCTCCTGCTGACCTGGCCTGTAGGCCATGAGCTGGGGGTCCTGGGTGAGGCCATGGTCGTGGAAGGCCACGCTGGGGGAGGGGACTCAGGCTCCATCAGCCAGCACAGTCCCTGAACAGCCCCACAGCAGAGGGCCTGTAGTCACCCCACACCTCCCCTGCACCTTCATGCCCCTCTCCCTCCCCACACACAAATTCGAATGTTCAGGTCTGCAGCAGGGCCTCTTCCCCAGATTGGGAACCCCCAAGGTCTGGTCTGAGTCATTCTTGGTGCCCAGATGGGTCCTGGGACCCCGTGGGTACAAATAGGCTTGTGGCTTCTCCAAAGGGTTGGCCTGGGCCCCGCCCTCCAGGAAAGCAGGACTGGACAGGAGGCTGGCCTAGGCACTAGGTGAAATCCAGCCGAGCTCAGGGTTAAACAATGCTGTGAGACCCGTGGAGTGGGGTGGGGGCTGACAACCAGGTGGCCTCGGGGGGGCTGGGGGAACCCTGCTGGTGGCCTCTCTGGCTTGAGCTCAGCCATCTTTGGGTGAGAAAAGAAGAGCCCAATTCTGGCACCAGGCTGTCATTGGCAGCCCCCATCAGGGATGGAGTTTCTCAGGAGCCATGGGTGCTGAGTGGAACTCCAGAGTCTTGGCCCAGGGTGCAGCAGGCAGGGCAGGAGGGCTGGGCAGGGGGGGCTGGGAGCTGGGGGAGTCATTGGTTGACCAGTGCCATTCTCCTGGAAGGGACACACCCTGCCCAGAGGTGGGTGAGGCTCTCTGGGAGGGGCTCCTTGGGGAGCCAGGCTAGGAGCTGCCTCCCCGTCACAGCAGGTCAGACAAAGCCTGAGATGCAGGGACACATGCGTCAGGCTATTGTTTGAGGGAGATGGAAGGAGCTGAGGCTGGGAGACCCGGGAGGCCAGGCCTCCGAGGCTTCTCCTGGGCCTGCAGGTGTCCCCAGCTTGACCCAAGGGCACTCTGAGACCCTGGGCTCCAGCCACTGCTGTTCGGTGCGGCCAGGCTCTCTTGCCCTTTACTGCAAGGTGGGGACCCCCTCCTGCTGAGGTGCCCATCCTTTGAGGTCAACTGGGAGTCCACCTCACCCTATCCCAGGCCTCCAAGCCCAGAGGAAGAAGGCACTGTACGGCCAAGGCAGGGAGCCCCGGAGCAGGAGCCAGGTCAGGTGTCTGGGGCGACCAGTGGGTCTGGGGGAGCTGGAAGCACATTTCAGTTTCCCTGCTACCACAGTCATTGAGCCTCAACCTGTCCAAGCATTCTTTTTCTTATTTGAAAGGGGGCTGTAGAGGCATTGGGGGAGCACCGTCACTACCCTCTGTGCCCCCGCCTCCTCGCAGGCAGCACCAGTGGTTTCTTGGCCCTGGCTGCTGCTCCCAGAGCTGACTCCAGTGATTCTAAGAGTGGAAGTGGCTGAGAGGCTGAGGCATCAGGAGGAGGTGGGCGCAGCTGTGTCATATGGCTCAGGAAGCCCTGGGAGTATCTTTTGTCACTTGAGGACCAGAGAAAGGGGGTGGTAGGTAGGGCCCCTTCCTTGAGGCTCCCCCAGGGAATCCACAGGCCCTGACTGGGCCCAGTGGGTGGCAGGGCAGGTGGGTTGAACGCTGAGAGTGAGATTCTTGCCCTCCTGACCTGGGCCTCCCCAGAGCCTGTGCCTTACCAATGGGGAAACTGAGGCAGGCAGTCTGAGAGCCACACACTGTTAGATACCTCCTAGCCTGAGGCCTAGGCCTAGGGCTGTCTGTCTTCCTGGAGATGCCCTGGGCCCGAGATGCCAGCCTGTCTGGGTGGGTGCTGGGCTTCGAGGTGTGGACCCTCAGAAACTGGGTGGGACTCAGCCTAGAGGCTTCCTGCAGGTCAGGACCATGGAAGGCTGGGGCCCGTGAGGAGGCTTTTCTGGCAGCAAGGACTGAAGGATGCACTGGTAGAGCCAGGGGGCCTGGAGCCACCCCCTTTCCCTGGGATGAAAGGCTCTCCTGTTCCCAGCTGTGGGCCTGCCCCTCCTCCCCAGGTGCCAGTGGCTTCCAGGCCCCACAACAGGACCAGGGCCTGGACGGGCAGTGGAGGAGGTCCCTCAGCCAGGAGGGCCTAAGGGAGGGCTGGTGGCGGGTGGGGTGGGGCTGGGGCCTCCAGCTTCTAATGTTCTAACGTGCAGGGACTGGGCCTGTCCGGTCCTACCCTGGAACTTTTCTAGGCCCCATGTCCTGCTCTGCTGGGCTTGCCTGTTGGGATTCTACTGGGGTCAGGAAGGTGGGTGGCCCACAGAGCGGAGCTCAGGAGACCCCCGCAGTCCCTGGAGTAGCCACATGGGAGGGAGGCCCAGCTGGCAGGAGCTCCGAGTCCCTCCAATCCTGTGGGTCAGAGCTGATGAAGAAGCTCACAGGGCAAGGGAGTGTCCACGGAAGCACATGGGAGATGGGTCTCATCCCACCCCCTACCCCGTCTCTGAGGGCAGGGCCACCTGGGGGCTGCAGGGCAGCGCATGGGTGGCTGGTGTTTATTCAGCAGGCTGGCAGGGGCTTCCAAGTTTTGCAGGGACCTCCAGTACTCTGGCAGCCTGCACCCTTCCCTTCCCTTCCCTTCTGTCCACCCTAAGCCTCCTAGGGGGCGGGCCGGGCTGGACTTCACAAAAGGGCTCTGCCCTCCTCCCGTCCCCCGAATGTCTTGGGGCGCCGCACCGGGAAAGAGTCCACCAAACACACATGCACACACCCACCCACACGCGCGCACACGCACATACCCAATGCACGCACTCACACACGCGTACACACACACGTGCACACGCATGTATACACGCACATGTACGGGCACACACGCAGGCATTGCACACACGCAGGCATTACACACACACCCGCACGGACGCGCACACACAAACACGCGCACACACGCACAGGGGAGGTCAGCCCCCAGCAGGGCTGGGGAGGGGTGCAGGGCGCGGCGTGTCTGTGGGCGCCGTGACGCAGCCGGGAGGTTTTCGGGCAAGTCTGCGAGAAGACTGCCAGCCCTGAATGGGGCGGGTTCCCGCGCGGTTGCGCGTGGGTCCCGGGAGCGGCCTCCGGCGCCCTCTGGCGGGCGGAAGCCGCGCAGCACCTCTTGGGGTCGGAACGCGCGGCCGCTACCGACTCCCGGCCCGCCCCAGCCCGCGTGCAGGACCCGGTCGTCCCCTTCTGCTGTCCTGGAGCCCGGACTGAGGCCCCAGGGGCGCGGCGGGCCTCCCGGTCCCCGCAAGCCACGGCCCGTCAGCGCCTCGGCTCAGCCCTGCCCTCCGCAGCCGCTTTCGGGTGGCTCCGCCCGCGGCCCAATTTCCAGGCGACCGTTTCCCGGCGACGGCGGGCGGGGCCGTCTCTGCCGCCCCCCGCCGCGCGCTCCGCGGGCGCCTGCGACGCCCCGCCTCTGGCTCGGGTGCGGGAGCGGGGCCTGCCCGGGCTGCGACGCCGCCACAGCTCGGGGCCAGTCCGCCCAGTCAGGGGGATGGCTCGGGCGGCCTCGGGGGTCGACGATCCCCCGGGTGGGCGACGTGCCCTGTCCAGGCCTCACTTCCCGCGTCCGCAAAACGGGGCGGAGAACGCAGCCTAAGGCAGAGCCGTGCCAAGGTCCCTCGCCGTCTCCGGGCTCTGGCGGCCTGACCGGGCCTGGGGTCCGAGCGCGCCCGCGGGCCCGCAGGGGTCGCCGCGATGGACTCGCTGGCAGCGCCCCAGGACCGCCTGGTGGAGCAGCTGCTGTCGCCGCGGACCCAGGCCCAGAGGCGGCTCAAGGTGCGTGTGTGGAGAGGGCGGAACGTGGGTCTGTGACCCCGCGGGCCCCGAGACTCGGCAGGGGGTCCCCGTCCCCGCGCGCTGCCAGTCAGCGCCTAGGTTCAGCCCTGCCCTCCGCAGCGGCCTCGGGGGGTCCGCGGCCCAACGGTGGCCGATGTGCCCTGTCCAGGCCTCACTTCCCGCGTCCCCAAAACGGGGCGGAGAATGCGGCCGTGGGACCCCTCCAGGGGCCCCAAGGGTCTGCGGGGGCTGGGCGCCGGGGCGCGCGGGCGGGGTAGGCTCGGCGCCGCCGTCTATAAATAGGCGCTGCTCCGCCGCCGCCGCTGCCGCCGCCCCCGCGGCTGGATCCAGGCCAGGTGGGGCCTCCCGCCCCCTGGCACTCTCCGGAGGGGTGAGTGTCGAGGCCCCGAGCTTCTCTGGCTTATGGAGGGCCTTAAGTGTGTCCCAGGGGTCCCAATCCTGTTGCCCTGTGCCCGAGGAGGGAGGACACCGCCTGTGCCTGCTGCAGCCTGACATCTCCCCAAGGGAAAAACACAGCCTCGGTCCCTGCAGAGCCCTCCCTAAGGTTGGGGCCAGGGGTGTCCTCTTCTGCCACCCCCTGGCCTGCCTTCTTATCTCCAGGCTTTTGCCCACGGGCCCTCCCCTCATTTTTGCCAGTGAAATGCCCCACCCTGGGAACCATACCCTCTGCTGTCTCCTCATCCTTCATTTGGTAAGAGACAGGGTATTGGGCTGCCGGAGAAACCTTTTTGTCCCTAACTTGTCCCACCCTGCCCCCAGGACATTGACAAGCAGTACGTGGGCTTCGCTACACTGCCCAACCAGGTGCACCGAAAGTCAGTGAAGAAAGGCTTTGACTTCACGCTCATGGTGGCTGGTGAGTGGGCTGGGCTCCTCAGGGGAGTGGCTGGGGTCCCTGGCCAGCCAAGCTCTGTCGTTGGAGCCCCAGACCTAACCCAACTCCTTCTCTGTACCCGTGTGCAGGTGAGTCAGGACTGGGGAAGTCCACACTGGTCCACAGCCTCTTCCTGACAGACTTATACAAGGACCGGAAGCTGCTCAGTGCCGAGGGTGAGTGGCCCCCAGGAGGCCCTGGCACTGATCCCCAGCCCCCTTCCATGGGACCTCTCCAAGCACTCCCTTCCAGGTCCAGCTCCCAGTGTTCTGTTCTTGCGGGTGGGTCCCCCCGGGGGTAGGGCCAAGGCATCAAGATGGATGAGGACAAGGGTCCTGGCTGCCAAGGGTGAGGGGCTGAGGGTTGGAGAGGCCCCTCCAGTGGCCCCTTCCCCGTAGAGCGCATCAGCCAGACGGTAGAGATTCTAAAGCACACCGTGGACATTGAGGAGAAGGGAGTCAAGCTGAAGCTCACCATCGTGGACACACCGGGATTCGGGGATGCCGTCAACAACACCGAGTGGTGAGCGAGGCCTACTGAGAAAGGCCCTGCCTAGGCGGCCACAGCACTCCAGGCCTGGCCTCACCTCCCTCCTGCCCACAGCTGGAAGCCCATCACTGACTATGTGGACCAGCAGTTTGAGCAGTACTTCCGCGACGAGAGCGGCCTCAACCGAAAGAACATCCAAGACAACCGAGTGCACTGCTGCCTGTACTTCATCTCCCCCTTCGGGCATGGGTGCGTGGCTGTCCTGGGGCCAGACTCGGGAGTGCACCCCCTTACAATATGGCCCCTGGCTGTGCCTATGCCCACGCTTGGCTGCTCTCGGCAGGCTGCGGCCAGTGGATGTGGGTTTCATGAAGGCATTGCATGAGAAGGTTAACATCGTGCCTCTCATCGCCAAAGCTGACTGTCTTGTCCCCAGTGAGATCCGGAAACTGAAGGAGCGGGTGAGCTTGCCGCCGCACAGGGGCCTGGCCAGGGCCCTGGGGCTGAGAGTACAAGGGGGACTTGACCGGCCTCAAATCTGACAGCCCTTGCCCCACCACAGATCCGGGAGGAGATTGACAAGTTTGGGATCCATGTATACCAGTTCCCTGAGTGTGACTCGGATGAGGATGAGGACTTCAAGCAGCAGGACCGGGAACTGAAGGTGAACATGCAGACTGCTGGGGCAGGGCGATGGAGGTGGCAAAGGCAGAACCAGAGGGCCTTGGCCTTGTCTCCTTCACACTGGGCCTGCTGGAGGAGGGCAAGGTCAGCCCAGTTGGGGGCAAGAGTCATTTGTTCTAGGAGTAAAGGACCTGTACCCCCTTCATCCAGAACTAGAAGGTAAAGGTCACCATGTCTTTGCTTGGCTGGGGTGGGTCATGCGGGCCCCACATGGTGCTTGGCAGGTATGGAGCACTTGGCCAGATCCAGAAGTGCAACAGTGGGCCAGGCCCTCAACCCCAACCCTCTTTCCATGGGTTACCAGAGGAAGGGGCTAGCCCAGTGGCACACCCTGGCTCCCAGATTTCTGACCTCCAGGGTTGGTGGCTTCAGGTACCCCAGCAACTCGAGTGGTGATGATGGAGACCATGCCAGGGGAAGGTGGCCACCAGAGCAGGGGCATCAGCACGGGGAGACATAGGCTTAGCCCTGGGGAGGGAAGGGGCAGCTGGAGAGTGTGGTTCTTGATGAGGGAGGAGATGAGGGTGGAGCATGCCTGGAAAGGCCCTGCAATGTGAAGCCCTGGAAGGCCATGGGCTCTGTCTCCAGCCAGTGGCAGAAAGGCCAGAAAGGGGCAACGCCAGGATCTCTTTGAGGAGAGATCGTTGATGGTGATGCTGGAGGGGTGCCCTGGGAATTACATGCCCGTTTCCCATCAGTAACCCTGCAATTACGCTGACCGGGTGTGAGCCCTTCTCCCTCCTTCCCCCAGGAGAGCGCACCCTTTGCTGTTATAGGCAGCAACACGGTGGTGGAGGCCAAGGGGCAGCGTGTCCGGGGCCGCCTGTACCCCTGGGGGATCGTGGAGGGTGAGTGGAGTCTTGGGGTACCAGGTCTGGTGGGGGAAGGCTGCCCTAGGCTGGCGCCAGCCCACCACCCACTCCCACCCCGCAGTGGAGAACCAGGCGCACTGCGACTTCGTGAAGCTGCGCAACATGCTCATCCGCACGCACATGCACGACCTCAAGGACGTGACGTGCGACGTGCACTACGAGAACTACCGCGCGCACTGCATCCAGCAGATGACCAGGTGCGCTCCCCAGCCCCAAGCCAGACCTCGCCCCTCCGGCCCCGCCCACGTCTCCATGACTGAGGGCCAGTCCTGTCAGCCCACTCAGACTTGAACCTTGCACAATCCCCCAAATCGCCCCCCCCTCTCCGAGTCTGGTTTCCCTAGAACCAGTCCAGGGCTGTGAGGGCTCCGGAGGGCAGGGCCTCAGCAGTGGTGGGGATGGGTCAGGCATCGCCAGCCCACGCTGAGCCTCCGGGTGGCGCCGCCCCGTCCCTCCCTTCCCCCGCAGCAAACTGACCCAGGACAGCCGCATGGAGAGCCCCATCCCGATCCTGCCGCTGCCCACCCCGGACGCCGAGACTGAGAAGCTTATCAGGATGAAGGATGAGGAAGTGTGTGGGGCGGTGGGGGTGGCGGAGGCGGGCAGCAGGGATGCGCTTCCACGGTGCTGCTCACCGGCCCGGTTGTCTCCGCCCGCCCGCCCGCAGCTGAGGCGCATGCAGGAGATGCTGCAGAGGATGAAGCAGCAGATGCAGGACCAGTGACGCTCGTCGCGGACACACCGTCCGTCTCCGGGACGCCCTCCCACCCCTGGACCCCAGACCGGACTGTTCCCGACCCGGAGACGCGGGGCCACAGCCCCCAGCTGACCCTAATTTATTCTCAGCACCACCCCCTCCCAGGTCATTCGTATCTGCTTCCGAGGGGCCTGGACTGTAGCCCCCGCCCAGCTGGCCCTCTCTGGCCTTGGGGGATCAGGAGCGAAGTTGGGCGGTACTTCAAAGATCCGCCTCTCTTGCCCTTCCCCCGCCCCCAGACGGTCACACCACCCAAACTGCAGGCCCTGCTCTAGCAGGCAGGCAAACCTAGGCAGAAGAGGATTCCCAGGGTCCTGGGTCTGTTGCCTGCCCCAGTGCTGCAGAACGGACTTGGGAGCCCTCCTTTGCCTGCTCCCGCGGGTCACCCAGCAAGTGCTGAGACCCCATTTTCTGTCGAGGCGGGCCGGGTCTTCCCTTAGCCCCAGAAGCCCAGCGGGCAGGGTTGGGCTGAATCAAATGGGAGCTCTCCAGACTTAAGGAGGTGAGAGGCTGCAAGGAGGGCGGGCCGTGACCACCCACACCCCTTCTCCACAGCCCGGCCTGATCTGGAGGACCCCCGGGGCACTGGGCGGTGAGCCACCTCCTGGCAACTCTCGGTGCCGTCCCCTGCCCTGGCTCGAGGCCTCCCCAGCACAGCTGTGGTGTGCCGGGATCCCGAGCCTCGGCCTCCTGATCTTACCACCCGCATGATCCCTTCCCGCCACACGATGCTCCTTTTTGTTCCGTTGTGAATGCCGCGTCCTGTCCTGGTGACAGGAGAACAATGTTGGTGAACGTCGCAGCGGGTGTCCGAGTGCTCCGTGTGCCCCTGAGAGCGGGTGGGAGCGGAAGCCAGGGCGGCCTGCGGCCTCCGGCGATAGTGTGCTATCTGCCGCTGCAGCACGCGTCCGCGCGGCCTCTGGGCTATTTCTGGCCGGGCCGCAGCACTGTGGTCGGTGCGGGCGTGGCGGGGGCGGGAGCGCTTTATCGCTCGGCTCTCCCGCCTACGCGTCCCGCTCCAGAGTAAGCTGGGCCGCCGTCTTCTAGCCATGGGCTCCGGTGAGTCTGGAGTCCGGTCGGGCCCCCGGCTGCTCCCTAGGCCGACCCGGGTTGAGAGGCGCTCTGGTCCTCTGGCTGTAGCTGGGAGAGACTTGGGTCAGACTTAGAGGGGACTTCCAAACGGCGCGCGGGGTGGTCAGGGTGGAGAGGCTGGCGGGCTACCGGGATGCCGGGCATCAGGGGCTGGATGGAGCCGGGCCGGCGCTCTGGGTACTCAGAGACGTCGCCCAGGTGCCCCGCCGACCGCCCGGCTCACTGCGGCGCTTCCCTTGCAGGGCCGCGCGGGGCGCTGAGCTTACTGCTCCTGATGCTGGCGCCGCCGAGCCGCCCGGCCGCAGATTGCCCGGCGCCCTGTAGCTGCGCGGGGACGCTCGTGGACTGCGGGCGCCGGGGGCTGACTTGGGCCTCGCTGCCGACCTCCTTTCCTGTCCACACAACCGAGCTGGTGCTGACCGGCAACAACCTGACGGCGCTGCCGTCGGGGCTGCTGGACGCGCTGCCCGCGCTGCGCACCGCACACTTGGGCGCCAACCCCTGGCGCTGCGACTGCCGCCTTGTGCCGCTGCGCGCCTGGCTGGCCGGCCGCCCCGAGCGTGCGCCCTACCGCGACCTGCGTTGCGTGGCGCCCCCAGCGCTGCGCGGCCGCCTGCTGCCCTACCTAGCCGAGGACGAGCTGCGCGCCGCTTGTGCTCCCGGCCCGCTCTGCTGGGGGGCGCTGGCGGCGCAGCTTGCGTTGCTGGGCCTTGGGCTGCTGCATGCGTTGCTGCTGGTGCTGCTGCTGTGCCGCCTGCGGAGGCTGCGCGCCCGCGCCCGCGCTCGCGCCCGCGCCGCACTCCGGCTGTCGCTGACCGACCCACTGGTGGCCGAGCAAGACGGAACCGACGAGTCCTGAGGAGAGAACCGGCGTGTCCTGAGGAGAGAACCGGCGCTGGGCAACGCGGACCTGCAAACTCGACAGGACGCTACCCGAGGGGCCCTCGCGCCAACCTGGACCGGTCTCCGCCTCCTCCGCTGTCCAATCTCTCATACCCACCCCACCTGCAGGCCCAGACCACGTGGGACAGAACTCCTGCCCACCCTACCCCGAGGGAGGCGAACCCACACCTCCAGGCTTGGGAGGACCATGGGGCACAATGCGGTCCAGACCCTGCCTGCGTCTCCCCTCCAAACTCTGGTGCTGAATAAACCCTTCTGGCCTTCTCTGCACGACTGACCTGGAAATTCCCCTCGCCAAACCCAGGAAAAGTCTCCAGGAGGCGGTTCAAGGGGACACAAATACTTCCTTACATGCCCACCCTAATCTCAGGGGCAGACAGGAGTCAGTGGGTGAACTCTCCCCTTCCAGTCACACTCCCAAAAAGCTACATGGGAAGGCATGAGAGAGATGCTAAGTGATAACTTGGGGGCCAGCGAGGACGCTGTGGGGAGAGTGAGGACCCTGTGGGGGCAGTGAGGACGCTGTGGGGACAGTGAGGACGCTGTGGGGGCGGTGAGGACGCTGTGGACACAGTATGCTGTGGGGACAATGGGGACGCTGTGGACAGTATGGACGCTGTGGGGACAGTGAGAACACTGTGGAGACAGGACACTCTGGGGACAGTGAGGACCCTGTGGGGGCAGTGAGGATGCTGTGGATACAGCATGCTGTGGGGACAGTAGGGACGCTGTGGACAGTGAGGGCACTGTGGGGACAGTGAGGACGCTGTGGACAGTGAGGATGCTGTGGGGACGGCGAGGACGCTGTGGGGGCGGTGAGGACGCTGTGGACGCGGTGAGGACGCTGTGGGGACAATGAGGACATGGGACAATGAGGACACTACACAATGAGAATGCAATGGAGACGCTGTGGGGACGGCAAGGACGCTGTGGACAGGGCGCTGTGGGGGCAGTGAGGGCGCTGTGGACAGTGAAGACGCAATGGGGACACTGGGGGCAGTGAGAAGGCTGTGGATGCGGTGAGGATGCTGTGGGGTCAGTGAGGACACTGTGGGGACACCGTGGGGACAGTGAGGACGCTATGGGGACAGTGAGGACACTGTGGATACAGCATGCTGTGGGGACAGTGGGGACACTGGACAGGATGCTTTGGGGACGGCGAGGATGCTGTGGGGGCGGCGAGGACGCTGTGGACGTGGTGAGGACGCTGTGGGGACAGGACGCTGTGGGGGCGGTGAGGGCGCTGTGGGGGCGGTGAGGACACTGAACAGTGAGGACGCTGTGGGGGCGGTGAGGGCGCTGCGGGGGCGGTGAGGGCGCTGCGGGGGCGGTGAGGGCGCTGTGGGGGCGGTGAGGGCGCTGTGGGGGCGGTGAGGGCGCTGTGGGGACGGTGAGGGCGCTGCGGGGGCGGTGAGGGCGCTGTGGGGGCGGTGAGGACACTGAACAGTGAGGACGCTGTGGGGGCGATGAGCGCGCTGTGGGGGCGGTGAGGACACTGAACAGTGAGGACGCTGTGGGGGCGGTGAGGGCGCTGTGGGGCGGTGAGGGCGCTGTGGGGACGGTGAGGACGCTGTGGGGGCAGTGAGGACACTGAACAGTGAGGACGCTGTGGGGGCGGTGAGGACGCTGTGGGGGCGGTGCGGGCGCTGTGGGGGCGGTGAGGACACTGAACAGTGAGGACGCTGTGGGGGCGGTGAGGACGCTGTGGGGGCGGTGAGGACACTGAACAGTGAGGACGCTGTGGGGGCGGTGAGGACACTGAACAGTGAGGACGCTGTGGGGGCGGTGAGGACACTGAACAGTGAGGACGCTGTGGGGGCGGTGAGGACGCTGTGGGGGCGGTGAGGGCGCTGTGGGGGCGGTGCGGGCGCTGTGGGGGCGGTGAGGACACTGAACAGTGAGGACGCTGTGGGGGCGGTGAGGACGCTGTGGGGGCGGTGAGGACACTGAACAGTGAGGACGCTGTGGGGGCGGTGAGGACACTGAACAGTGAGGACGCTGTGGGGGCGGTGAGGACACTGAACAGTGAGGACGCTGTGGGGGCGGTGAGGGCGCTGTGGGGGCGGTGAGGACACTGAACAGTGAGGACGCTGTGGGGGCGGTGAGGACGCTTTGGGGCGGTGAGGGCGCTGTGGGGGCGGTGAGGACACTGAACAGTGAGGACGCTGTGGGGGCGGTGAGGACACTGAACAGTGAGGACTCTGTGGGGGCGGTGAGGGCGCTATGGGGGCGGTGAGGACACTGAACAGTGAGGGCGCTGTGGGGTTGGTAAGGGCGCTGTGGGGGCGGTGAGGGCGCTGTGGGGGCGGTGAGGACACTGAACAGTGAGGGCGCTGTGGGGGCGGTGAGGGCGCTGTGGGGGCGGTGAGGGCGCTGTGGGGGCGGTGAGGACACTGAACAGTGAGGACACTGAACAGTGAGGGCGCTGTGGGGTTGGTAAGGGCGCTGTGGGGGCGGTGAGGGCGCTGTGGGGGCGGTGAGGACACTGAACAGTGAGGGCGCTGTGGGGGCGGTGAGGGCGTTGTGGGGGCGGTGAGGGCGCTGTGGGGGCGGTGAGGGCGCTGTGAACAGTGAGGGCGCTGTGGGGGTGGTGAGGACACTGAACAGTGAGGACGCTGTGGGGGCGGTGAGGACGCTGTGGGGGCGGTGAGGGCGCTGTGGGGGCGGTGAGAACGCTGTGAACAGTGAGGGCGCTGTGGGGGCGGTGAGGACGCTGTGGGGGCGGTGAGGGCGCTGTGGGGGCGGTGAGGGCGCTGTGGGGACCGTGAGGGCGCTGTGGAGATGGTGAGGACCTCGTGGGGGCGGTGAGGATGCTTTGGGGTTGGTGAGGATGCTGTAGGCCGTGAGGACAGTCCCAGAGGTGTGCCTTGTTATCTGAGCATGTTCAGGGGCTGGTTCTTGTGGACAGTGCCAGCCATGAGGACACCGAGAGCATTTCAAGGGTTGGATTTCCTGATGCAGGGACTGCGGTGTTGGCAGTGTTCAGTTCTAGGGGAGTGTTGGGGCAGGTGACCAGGGTTGGTTCGGGTCTGTTGCTCCATCTAGGACTCCCTGGACCATTGGAGTGAGAAGACGGTCTCTACGTGAGGGAGCCATGTGCAGTGGGGGTTCATGGAGGGCACCACAGGATGAGTGGACCTCAGGGGTTGCAGGGTCTCTGGAATCATTGTGTCCTGGAGTGAGCCTGCCCCCACCACAGGTTCCACCAACACCCCCAAACCCTCCTCCTGCCATCCCTCCCCATCCCACAGCAGCGGCCCCAGCCCCAGACCCCTTCTTCCAGGAGCAGGCTGCCAGCCGAGAGCCATTCCTGTCCCTACCCGCAGCTGCTGCCTTCCCCAGGCTCCCAGGCTGTGCCACACGGGGCCTGCATCTCGGCCAGGCCTCTGCACACTGTTCCTTCTGCCTTTCACACGGTGCCCTTCATGCCACTGCTCCTTACTCATCTCCTGTGCCTCTGGCGAGTCCCCCACCAGGCCACCACTTCCCTCAGGAAGTCCTCTCTGACTGCCCAGACCAGCAAGGGGCTTCTCAGAGTCCTCCAGTCTCTGGCCTCCCACTGCCCTGCCCGGATTCTGGAGCTGAGCAACCAGGTCAGCACAGGTGCCCAACTTAAGGGGTGACTGATGCCTTCCTCACTACTGGGGCTGGCCTGGGGTGCCAGGGACAGGGTCCCTCTGCCACCATCCGTGTGGCCCCCACCTGGCTGGCCCTATGAACAATGGAGACTATTCTCCATGCATCCCAGAGAGGCCCCAGATGAGGAGCCTCAGGTCCCGGCCACCTGGCCCAGGAAGGCCCTCAGCCCCCAGTGGCCATCACTGACCACCACTGACCGGGTCGAGGAGGCTGCCACTGACACGGCCTTTGTCCTGGCCTTTATGGGACAAGACAGATGGCCCTCCTGCAGGGCTGATGCTATCTTGAGGCTGCCGGTCAGACGTGAGGCAGGAGCCACCCCTGCCTTTGTGAGCAGGTGCAGGGCATCCGGCCCATTGTGGGCTGCAGCCGGCTGTGGTTGTCCATCCGGCCTTATCACCACATCAAGGACAGTGGCCCCCTTTACACAAATGAACTGCCTGGCTTGCCCTCCCCAGCAGTGGCCTGGCATCTCCAGAGCTCCTAGTGGAGGTCAGAGGTAACCATCGTCATAACACCGTGCGTGTGCAACACTCTAAACTCAGTCCAAGCAGGGCACGGGGAGGGGGTGTGCTCCCCACTTTCTGCAAGAAACCAGATCCCAGAAGAGGGCTCTCTGCTGGGCCCCAGAGCATTTTTTGTGACTGCACTGGAAGCAGAGCTGAGGCAAGCCCCTTGGATCCCCTCTCTGCCTCACTGAGGTCTTTGGGGTGCAAATGCACGGCCCAGAAGAAAATGACCCGGGGTCCTAGGTGGCCCCCAGCCAGGAGAAGGACACTCCCCTGGTCTGTGAGAAAAGGCCCCCGCAGGAGATTTGGGGAGTGGGCAGCCCACTGCCTGCAAGGCTTGAGGTCTCCTGGGCCAGTGTCTCGCTCAGGGGCTGGCAGGGGTCCCTGAAGCAGGGGCTGCAGAGGCACAGGGCCTCCTGTTGCGGAAAGCGGCTGGAATCACTGTGTGGTTAGACGTAAGGAATAACTTCCTGCCTGCTGGTCGGTGGGGCAGCCGAACCCTATGGTTCCTCCACAGCCCCTCCTCTTGCCGGCTCTCCGTGGTCTAGACTGGTTTGTGCCAAGGTACTGAGCACAGAAGGCACAGGGCTGCCCTCGCTGGCTGACCTTCCTTGGCTGCCTGGGAGCCCCCAGTCCCCACACCTGACTCTGAGCTGACCCTCCACACACACTGACCCTGGGGCCTCTGCCTCCAAGGAGTGTGGGGAAGTGGATAGTCCCAGCTTAGTACCCCTGAATGGCCCTGTGGGGACAGGGGAAATGCACGTGCTCCCTGCAGACCTGGGCACCACCTTGACCCTAGCATTGTCCTTCATTTCACAGACAACACACCTGCCCCTGGGCCCCCTCCCCACTGATGAGCTGGGCCCTCTGTGACCTCAGATTCTTCCTTCTAGGCAGGAACAGGTTAGGGGTCCCCTCTCCAAGCCCTGCCTGGACCCCACACCTCCAGCTCCCAGGCCAGCTGATTCAGGGCTCCTTGCCCTGCAGCCCAAGGGCCCTCTCACCACCATTGCCCGCCGCACCTCCCTGGGCTCCTGTGATCTCAGCCTTAGGTCAAGGCCCAGTCCTGGCGTACCCTCCCCCGTGGGCCAGGCCCTCCATGCCTTTGCCCGTGCCAGTCCCTCTGCGAGCACACCCTTCGTGTTGTGGCTACTCTTCAATCTTAGAGGCCCCTCTCAAGCCCATCCTCACAGAGCTTCCTAGGCCTGCCCTGGCCTGACACATAGTGCAGGACAGTGTCCAGGCCTGTGTCCCTAAGGTCCACCTGGGGTTCAAGCCACATCTTCGGCCTGTACACAGCCAGCTAGTGAGTGAGCGAGGCCCTGCAAGATGGCCATCCGTCTTGTCCCACAAAGGCCAAGACAAAGGCTGTGCCAGCGGGGTCTGTGATGGCCAGTGGTGGTCAGTGAGGGCTGGACCGGGAGGCTTACAGCTCAGGATGCACAGCTCAGACCCCGCCGGGAAGCTCCCAGGGCAAGGGCCTAGTCGTGTTCTCCTCTCAGGCGAGCAACCCTAGCCAGGCACCAGAGGGCGCTCGCAGTCTGCAGGAAACGCTGACTAAGTAAGGGGTGAGCGCGGAAAGAGATGGGAGCTGTGGGTGCAGACAGCTGGGGTCCGCGGAGAAACGGAGGCCTGGAGCAGGGACGCTGGGTTGCCCAGGCTGGCGGCGAGCGGCACCGAGTGGGACGGGCAGACCGCCCCTCATGAGGGCGGGGAGGGGGTCGCCGCGTGGCGGCTGACAGACGGGGCGGGATGAGCGCAGCCCCCGCCCCTGCCCTGGCGCACTGACAGCCTGTCAACTGAGAAGATAAGGGACTTCTTCCGCCGGGCGTGGGGTGGGGGTCAACCCAAGTGCGCTGTCCCTCTCCCGCCGGTGTTTGCTCGGTAAACACTTATTGGGCCCTGGCTGTACACACCGCCGCGCGGGAGGGGTGGGCGACCTGAAGGCCTGTGCTCCACGGCTCCTGCCAGGGATGCCGGGTCCACGGGCCATCAGTGATGCAGGAAAAGAGGCTCTGTCACCTCTGGCCCCGCCTGGGGAGAGTTGCCTGTGGGGTCCTTCGTGGGCCCCCTCCAGCCTGGAGTGGCACTAGCCTCAGCTTCAGAGCTGGGCCGACCCCTACTAGCCGAGGCCTCAATGGGGCCCGGTGGAAGAGGTCCTGGGAAGGTCTGGGGAGCTGAAGCCCTGGCCACGTTGCGGGGGACTGCACCCCCTGCCCAGACGGAGCAACAACATTGGGGTGGGTGGCGGGGCCCTGGGGGCCCATAGCTCAGCGCAGCGTCTGCGCCCACCCCCTGTGTTTCCGATGGAAGACAGGCTGAAGGTGATAAATCACCAGGTCCCACCCCCACCCACCCCGCCAACGGGTGGGAAAGGGGGGCTGCATGTGACAGAGACAGGGACTGAGACAGAGACGGGAGCCAGGTCTACAGGAGAGACAGAGACAGTGGCACTGCGGTGGCCCCGCTGACATGGGCCAGGACCCTTGCGAGGGTGTCCGGCCTCCCTGCTCTGGGCGCCCCTTCCACAAAGCCCATCTGGAAACCAGCTGAAAGCCACCATACCCCCACCCCGGCTGACCCCCAACAGAGAGGCGAAGGAGGGAGGGAGACCTTTGCAGCCATAACTCCGTCCCCCCTCCGGGAGAGCCATAAATCAGCAGGGGTTCTCGAAGCACTACCCCACAGGCTGAGGGGGGCTTCAGGGCCGCTGGTCCTGGGGACTAGGCCTGTCCTTGGCTGTGTCTGTCCCTCTTTAAACAGCCTTGAGGCCGAGGCAGGCATATCACTTGAGGCCAGGGGTTCAAGACCAGCCTGGCCATCATGGTGAAACCCTGTCTCTACTAAAAATACAAAAATTAGTCGGGCGTGGTGGTGGTGGGCACCTGTAATCCGAGTTACTCTGGAGGCTGCAGGGGGAGGATGGCTTGAGCCCAGGAGGCAGAGGTTGCAGTGACCCCAGATCACGCCACTGCATGCCAGCCTGGGTGACAGAGCTAAACTCTGTCTCAAAAAAAATTAAAATAAACAGCCCTGAGGGGAGCCCCAGTGGCCCCCACCCCCAGCACAGTTGAACTGACTGAGCACTGTCTACACTGGATGTACACACTCACATCCTCACTTTCTCTCCCCAGACAGGAAATGTCTGCAGGGAGTGACTCTGTGTCCTCATCAGGAGACCCCTGTTTCTGGCCCCTCAGGAACTAGGGGTCAGCATGTCCTACCCAGTGAAGCCCTCCCGGGCTCTTTCTGCCCACAGGAAGTGCCTCCTTCCATCCTGTTTTCCTCTCACCACCACCCCCCAGGGCGCTGAGGGCCAGCTGGACAAAAGGTGGTGAGAGATGGGCCAGGTGGGTCCCCTGCAGGTGAGTGCACCCCACATACATACACACAGGGCAGGTGCAAAGTCAGTACCCAGTGGGAGAGGCTTGAGAGGGCCTGGGGGAGTGCTCCCTGGAGCTGTGGGGTATGCTTGGCACCCTAGTTCTAGCTGGGCCAGCCTCAGCAACCCCTCTCCAGGGTCCATCCTACAGACAGCTCCCAGGGTTCCTGCGGCGGGCATGAGGGCAGTGTACACCAGGAAACACAAATGTCCACCGTGACATCACCCCAGCTTGTCTCAAGGAGCCGTGGGGTTGGGGGTGGGGGCTGCTGCTGCTCCTTGTCTAGAAAGACCTTCGGAGATGTTAGAATTCTATACCTGAGACAGGCACTGACTGTCCCTGGGCTGGCCTGGGCCTGGTCACCTGGACTGTCGCCTTCATCCTCAGAGCAAACCCTCTAGCACTAGTGACGTCTCAGGGGATGGTTCAAGGCATGCAATGGCTGGAGGTGTGCCCAGCTCAGCCTGTAGGAGGGTCTGGCTTTTCCAGAATGTCCCAGGGAGAAGAATTCGAGGGGAGAAGGGTGCTGGGGTATGCAGGGGGCCCCATCTCCCATCATCTATTCATGCTCAATCATTCAGACCAGTGTGTCGTCCTTTCTGGAGCTTGCTGGCTGCCGGGGTCAAGGGCTGGGGGGTGCAGATCCCTTGGCCCCAGACCCCCACCTGGCAGAGACACTTCACTCCTCTTCCATCCCTCCTGAGAGGGCCAGCTCCCTCCTCCCCACACTGGGATTCCCCCTAGTATGAAGTTCTCTGGGGCTCACCTAGGTGTGTTTAAGCATGTCTGACAAATTGAGGGACTCCAGGCCTAACAGATTCGAAACAGGCCGGGGAGACAAGAGCTCATTCAACCACAGGGGCCAGTCTGCGCTGCCCTCCCCAGGTCGCCCAGGTGCGACTCTCTCCACTGTCTGTCCCAGCCACACAGGACCTTGGGGCCAGCCCCACAAGATCACTGCTCTCCTGGTGGGGTACAGGAACCCTCAGAGATGGGAGGATCTGGAAGGGAAGCCTTTGAACTTTGCCTGATGGACCCCTGGGATGTGGGGGTACAGACCCCAGGTGGGCACCAACAGGTCCCCATGACAGCCACTTCTCTTGGCTGGGCCACATTGACAGAATCAGGGCGCCCACTCCTGGGAGAAAAGCCTCAGTCTAGGGCTGGGGGTCCAGTGAGCCAGGGGTGAGGGTCCCAGGGCAGCGTCAGCCCGAAGTGCAGACCAAGGCTTCGGCCCTTCACCATGTGGCAGCTGTACCTGCCACTCAGGGGATCCCAGGCTGGGCTGGGGCTTCAAGGAGGTGCTTATGGGCAGATCCAGGGCCGAGCTCTGCCCCGGTGTCTGCTTCAAAATCTATTTTGATGTGATTTGTATTTGGGGGGGTTGCTTTTCTCTATGCTTTGTTTATTTAAAGATGTTTGTAAACGCCGAGGAAGGGGCTGCTGTCTGAGCAGGGCTGGGGAGGGCAGGAGCCCCCGATAGCCGCCTGTCCCAGCATGCCCAGCATGCCCTTATTGCCCACTGAAGGTGCTCGCTCGGCACCGACTGCACTGGCTTCCTCCAGGAGAGTAGCCTGGGGGCTAGGACCAGGAGGCGCCAGTGCCCAGAGCAGTACGTGAGGCCAGGGACCTGGCTGAGACCAAGCAGGTTCCAGGCGTCCATGCTGAGGGGCGTGGGAGACCACTGACTTTCTTTGTGGCAAAAGTGGGAATGGACCTGTTTGTGGGAGCCCAGGGCCTCTCTTGGCACTAAATGCCTCACTTGGGCATCCCCTGTCCTGGGGTCCTTGGCATGGGACTCTCTGGTATGGAAATCCCTGGTCTATGGAATGCTAGTCTATAAGTCCCTGGTCTGGGGTTCTGAGCCTGGAGAGTCCTGCTCTGGGTCCCTGCTCTGGGGGTCCCAGGTCAGCAGGTCTCTCACAGGTGCCTGCTCAGGGTCCGTAGTCTAGGGGTCAGTGATCTGAGTGATCTGGCCTTTTCTCCCTAGGGGTGCCAGATGCCGTGTGCTGCCGTGGATGTCACTGGGATATCAGTCAGCCCATTCTCTGTGGGCCAAGGAGTCACTGCTAACAGGAGTTGTCCCAGAGGGTCACACCCTTGAGTCTTGTGGCAAGGCCAGCAGGAGGACCAGCTGGAGCACGGAGAGCATCCTCAGATCACCAGCAGAAGGATGATCGTCTGCCAAGGCCAACTGGAAGACTCCACAGACCTCCCAAGTCCTGGCTAGGCTCAATCCTGCTGTTATAAGTCCCCCTGGGTCTTCCCTGAATCCTCCCAGAGCCCTCCCTGAATCTTCCCAAGTGCTCCCCGAATCCTCCCCAGGTTGTTTCCTGGAGTCCTCCCAGTCCTTCCTGGATCCTCTCCACATCCTCCCTGAGTGCTCCCAGAATCCTCCACAGTCCTCCCCGTGTTCTCTCAGGTGTGGGCTGCTGTACCTGGAATTGGCCCTAGCGGGTGACTGGGGCTGGAGTTTTGTTGACACCAGTGGAGCCACAAGCCTGCAGTGCACAGGTGTGATGGCAGGCCTGTGAGCGTTTGGGGATGCATGGCCTTGCTCCCTTTGCGCTGGTGTCTGGATGTGCTCAGAGACCACCTGGGTCCCCTGGCCTCTGGGACAAGGCCAGTCAAGCCTCGGAGCAGGTGGGACCCCAAGCAGAGCCAAGGCATCCCCAGCCCCAGCCCTTGTTCCCGTGTGCCCCATCTTCCGATGCACTTCCCTATGTCATGTGGTACCAGCTCTGCCTCTGACTCCCCATGCAGTAGCCCTAGGGCCCCTCCCTGCCAGTGTCCTCCTGGGCCTTCTGGGATGGGCGAGAACCTGCTCACGTGGGTACATGCACAGCAAGCATCGGAGGGTCTCCTTCCCTGGGAAACATCACAGCCCCACAGTGGGTCACCCTCAATGCAAACCACTCAGCTTCCGGGTGGCAAGCCTGCAGAGTGGCCCCAGGCATGCTGGGCCACCTTCTAAGTGTGCCAGTCCCATCGCTGTGTGTGTGTGGATGTGCCAGAGATGTACAGTCCCACCTCCCTGTCTGTGTCCCATGCCCCCATGAGTGTGTCCTCACACCTCTTGCCCCGCCTCCCCGCCGTGTGCCCCTCGTAGCAGCTTGGCCCTGCCCGCTGCACCATGTGTACACAGAGGCTTATTTTCTCTGCCTTTAGGGCCAGGGGTGTGCTCATAAATCGCGCAGTCGATGACACATTTATCCCGCGGGCGGCTGGCGGTGTGAATTTATGGCTGCACCCCCTTCCTGGCTGAGGCAGGACAGGGGCCGGGATACCTCTCAGGCAAAAACCTCCAGTCCACTGCACTGCGCTGTTGTGGGGCCATGGGGGCAGGGGCTGGGCCAGGAGGGCTCAGAAGTGCTCCCAAGGTCCCGTCTTGCTCAGAAACCCTGCAATTTCAGGGTGCTTGGGGCAATGAGAGGTGAGGCCGCTCTGCCTGCGTGAGGGCTGGGGGCACAGTGGCTGCCCACCTGCCAGAGACATGGAGGCCCAGAGCCCAGCCTAATGTCCCAGCCTCCATGCCCCCTTACAGTCTGCTCCTCATCTTCCCACCTATGAAAGAGGGAACAACCTGGACACCCCAGGGAGAGCAGGTGTGCGGGTGGCTCCCCTCAGGTGCTGATTCAGCCACCCACTGCCACTGGGCCTGCTGGGAGCATTGAGATTTGGGGAGGACTGTCGGAAAGGGTGGGGGCCTCGAGGGCAGCTGGATCTGCACACAGGGAGGAGGAGCGGAAATGCTGTCACATCAGAGCAGAGAGCCCCCCAGAGCTCACCTGCCCTCCTCTGCCTTGTAAAGATGGGGAAACTGAGGCCCAGGGAGAGCAGAGGTCCCAGACCACATGGGTAGAATAACAAAGCCTCAAGATCCTGGATTCCTAGTATGCAATAAGGGGGGTCCTAGGCGCACCCCTCCCTGTTGAGCCTTCTTTGTCCTGCAAAGTCTGGAGGTGGGGCCTCGGGCTGAAGGCTCAACAGGGAGCTGATGGAGCAAGTTGGCAAGCTGGTCCCATCAGGGCCACAGCTGGGGACTGGGACCTGGCTGCCTCCCCTCCGTCCGTCGGTCTGTCTGTGTGCAGGGTCGGGTCTCCAGGGGACCCTCTGTCGGCTCTCAAGCTCCCTCCCATCTCGGCCCTGGCCCCCCCTCACCGCCCGCTGTCAGGATGAGCGATGGCCATGCCCCTCCCCGGCCCTCAGCCCCAGGCCCGGTTCCCGCTCATTAGCCGCTGACACTGTTTGCTTTCCCGCCCTGGACGCCCACCCCGTCACAGGCCATTTCTCCTGGCGCCCCCCACCCCTGAGGACCTGCCCAGGGGTCCAGGGTGCCGGGTCGAGGGGGCTGCCGGGTGCCAGGCAGGACCTGCATTATGCTCACAGAGCAATGGCCACATGGAGTGCCGGCCCCACCCTCACCTGCACCCCGAGAGACGGGGAGCCACGGGTCACCTGGAGTCTCCCATAGCCCTGTCCACATCCCACAGGCCAGACACAGCCACAATGAGACTGGACCGTGCCTTGCAGCTTGGATGGCTTGGTGCTGTACACACTGGGAGGGTCTTTGATGACAAGTACCGGGCCCACTGCACCCATCTCTGTCTCTCTTTATCATTGCCCCTATTTCTGTCTTTGCCTGGGTCTCTGCCCCCAGCCCCATCCTGTGGAATGACCACTGAGCCACTGGCCCATTCGGAAAGTACATCCCCCACCTGGAGCCCCTCTGTTCCCCCCAGGCAGCCCCAGTACACAGCCTGGGGGGGTGGGTCCTGAGGCAGCAGGCACCCCTCCCTCCTGCACCACTCCCGCCCCCGATATGGCCACAGCTGGGCGGCATCAGGGCCCGCAGGCCAGTGGCAGTCAGTCCTTCACTTAAAAATGTGTTTGTGATTTCGGCGGCGAGGCAGATAACGGTGACGAATGGCCCGCCCGGCCCCCAGGGCCCTCAGCCCATCTGGTTTGACTTTGGCCTGTCGGAGGTGCCCTTGGGCCTCACCCCTGCCCTCTGGCAGTGCCCTCCGAGTGAGGCACCCTCAACCTTTGCACACTCTGGTCCCTTTGCTGGAAACGGCTCTCCCGTCCACCCGTCTGTCCCCCCATCATGGGATCCCCTGGCTATGCCCATAGGAGCCACGCCTGCAGCACTCAGGGTGGCAGGCCCTGGGCAGTGCTCAGGTTTGCAGGGTGGTGGGAAGGCACAGGCCCAGCAGGGAGGGGGCATACTTTGCCTGGGGCCTGCATCCCCTCTGTCCAGTAGGGAATAGTGAGTGCCCACCTGAGGCCAGAGGGGCCGAGGCTAAGGTGATGGAATGGGCCAGGACCGAGAGAGGTGGCCCGGTGGCCGGGGCAGGGCCTAGCCCTGTGAGACAGCCCATGTGGTCATTGTCAGCAGGAATTTCTGACAGGCTCGGGACCCTCCCGACCATCGATTATCCAAGCAGGAGGAGTGGCTTCCGGGTCCGGCCATGGGCTCAGCGGGGAGGTCATTGAGGTCAAACCTGAGTGCCCCTCCTCCTCCAGTCTCCCCTTCTACTCCCTTCGGGCTCCCCAGGTGGGCTGAGGTGCCTGGAAGGTTGCTCTGTGCCACTGGGCCCTTGCTCCTGCCCAGTTTGAATCCTGGCCGGCTACCACAGGGAGTGGTCAGGGGTCCACTAGGGACTGGGGCTCATGCATTCCTTAGCACAACTTCCCCATCAACCCCTGCATGCCCAGGTCATAGACAGGAGTCAGACCTGGCCCTCAGAGAGGAGATAAGGAGAGGTGGGGGTGCTTCGAGGTCCCTTGGCCCATCTCAGGGGTTGGGAAGGGGCTTGTGTAGAGGGAGGGCATTCAGGCTGAATGGAAGAGGCAGCCCTCCATGGGGATCTGGGGTCGCCTCTAGGAGAGACACTGCTCCGTTCCCCACTGCACCCTCCAGGCCCACTCCTGCCCTGTAGCGAGGACAGCTGTAGGGGGTGGGGAGGGGCGGCGCCATGTCAGGACCCCCACTCCCTCCCCAAAAGCAGGAAAATCCCTCTCCCTTAGTATCACATTGTTGAGAATTAACTTTGTTGAAATAAAAATTGGTCGTGGTATTAACTCGGCCTCGAGGATTTTCTCTGGGATCCCGGAGGCCGCAGAGGGGTCAGACGCCCATTCCCAGGGCCAGCCACTGGCTCGGGTTTCGGGGGCTCCAGCGACCTCAGATCCTTGGGACACGGCGCCTGGTTCTTTGGGGTTGAGGGAGCCATCCCAGTCCTACCTTCTACAACCCTGGACACGAAGGGGAACGGCCCAGACAGTGTGGGTCTTAGGCATCCATCCGTGCCCCTCCCCCATGTCTCCGTGTCACTTGCAGCCACGGCTATTGAGCCACAAGATGCCCCTGCCACTCCTCAGGGGTCGCCCATGGCCTTGGTTTCCCCACATGTAAAATGGGAGATTCACCCCAGCACAGGGTGTGGGGGGCCCTGGGCACAGACAGGCAGCCAGATGGTCAGACATCCCAGAATCCTGGGGTGGGCACGGGTAGGGAGAGACCCACCCAGGTCTCTCCAGAGGGCACCAGGTGGCCACACAGGCACTCTTGGCCTCAGCACAGCCTTGCTGGCCACAGAAAGAAGTTAGCAACCCCAACTGTCTGCCAGCAGGGTGCGGGCACCTGCTCCCAAGGAAGCAAGCAGAGAGCCCACGCGTGCTGCCGAGAAGGTTCAGCAGCCCCCAAACAACATGATTCCACACAGACAGATCCGTGTGAAACTGCTCCAAGAATTGCTGGGGTCCTGCCCCCTGACATGGTCCCCGCTGGACAGGGGGCACGAGCGCTGCCAGTTCCCACGACCCCACTCTGGAGTGTGTATTCCTGCAGGGAAAGTGCCCATGAACACAAGCACGAGGGACAGAGGTGGGGCCTCTTGAGGTCCTGTGGGTGGCTGGTCCTGCGTCCCGGTAGCCAGGGGACAGGCGAGACCTCCCAGCCAGTGGTCCCCTGGAAGCTTCCTCTGCCCACATCCCAGGCAGTGTGTTTTCAGGGGTGGGGTGCAGCCTGGGAACGGGCTGGTTCGGGGGCCTGGGAACGGAGGCAGGGGCCCCTGGCGGGGGATGCACCAGTGGGCCCAGCTGTTGCTGCCCGGCTCCAATTCCCACTCTGCATCGGGGCCTGTCCCTGGGGCCGAGGCCGGTGGTCTGCCTGGGAGGGAGTGAGGGGGCGTGGGGCCATATCTTCCTCCAGTCAGTGGTCCCTGGGCAGCAGAGGTAGGAGAGATCCGCCTTTGAGCTGAGTGGCAGAGCCCGCAAGCAGGGAGTGCTCTCCTGTCTCCCCAAATCCCATGTGCAACAGGTCCCAAAGCCTGCTCTGAGCATTGGAATCACCCCGAGGCCCAACCCCCTCACCCAACACCCAAGCCCACCTCCTCCCTGGGCCTGTGTTGGTGGACCAGGGCCTCCCTTATACACCGTGAGCCTGGCCCCAGTCCACGACCTCCAGGCCTCTGCTGTGGCTGCTCCTCCTATCAAGGGAGCCTTTGCACCAGGGCCATCCTAAAACTCGTATTTAACCTTCAAGACCCCATGCAAGTGTCCTGCCCCAGGACCCCTTCCCAAATATTGGGCCCTACACCCAGCTGGTGTCATTCTCTTTATAAGACTCCTGATGCCCCTCATCTGGCACAAGGCCGGACACCAGAGTTGGGGTGCACACTTCCGCCCCCAGGAGCAAAAGGCTCACTCTTCAAGGAGGCCTCCTTCCCAATGCCTCAGTTTCCCCATCTGAACTGTCCTTGGCTGACAGTATCCATGGTCCTATGGCAGCAAGTCTGAGCTCTGGGTGAGAACCAAGGCCACTGGGGCCTGGCCACCACCTGTCCAATGTTCTGAGCAGAGCAAAGGGACCCTGAAGAGGCCAGGCCAACTGGGGGCTCCTCCGAAGCAGGAGAGTGGGTGCCCAGCCAGCCACCCCACAAACATTTGGCTCGCTTCAGCTGAGGCCGAGGGCTGGCAGAGCTGCTGGCGGGGTGGGGGCCAGAGTGGGATTCTTCTTACTCCTAAAATCCCTCCCGCCTGCCCAGCGGGCCCCGAGGGAAGCCCCGTGATGCGGGAACCTGATATTTTAAGACTTAAAGCAAATGTTTCTGGAGCCCGAGCTGGGCCTCGGCGCCCGCCCGGGCCTTGTGGGGGCAGGGCCAGCAGGGAGGAGAGGACCCCTCCCCTGAACCAATCCTGCCCCTCCCTGGACTGCAGTTTCTGGTGACAGGAGGCGGGGGCAAGGCTGGAACCCCTTGGGCACCTTGAGGTTCCCGAAACCTGAGGGTGGGGGCCCCGGTGTTGGCTCTCCGCTCTGCTTGTCCCTCTCTTGGCTGCCAGCACCAGAGGAGGCCCAATGGGAGCCGTGAACCCCTCTAGGGCTGGCTTTGCCTGACCCAGAGCCCAGGGATACTCCCTTTCCCACCACTAGCAGGGTGGGTGTGTCCAGGTGCTGCTTTTGAGCCACTGGCAGGAGCCTCCTGGAGCTCAGAGCTGACACCAGAAGCTTCCTGTCTGGGAGGACAGGAGATCTGGGACCCACTGGCGATGTCTGCCTGGGGTGCCACAGGCTTCCTGTGCTTGGAACCGCAACAGATAGGATCTCGCTCTGTCACCCAGGCTGGAGAGCAGTGGCACAATCCCAGCTCACTGCCGCCTTGAACCACTGGGCTCAAGGGATCCTCCTACCTCAGCCTCCTGAGTGACCGGGACCACAGACACACACCACCATACCTGGCTAATTTATTTTTTATATTCTGTAGACAGGATCTTGCGATGTTGCCCAGGTTGGTCTCAAACTCCTGGCCTCGGGTGATCCTCCCTCCTCAGCTTCCCAGAGTGCTGGGATTACAGGCGTGAGCCACGGCACCCGGCCATGATAGGGTTTCTTTCTCTATATATAGAAAGGACTTCCCATCGCCTGGACCACAGAGCAGCCTGACGCTCAGCTGAGGCTGAGTGAAGCTGGCCTGGGCTCAGGGGCATGAGTTCCAGGCTCCAGGACCCACACTGGGACTCAGTGGTGCCATCCTCCTTCTGGGAACCTCCTGGGGGCCCTTGAGGGCTGGAGCATCACAAGTGGAGGGGTGACTAGGTCGGAGACAGCAGAGTAGGGAGGCAGGGGCTCTGTTGGGCAGTGAGGAATTAAGGCCTTAGGAATGAAGGCCTTATCTCTAACAAATGTTTCAGAGGCAGGGCCAGCCGGGCCCAGCTGGGAATGTGGGGGTGTAGGGGAGAGATGTTCTCCAGGTTCTCCCAGGACAGGCCATCCTAAGGACCCCACTAGCCAGCCCAGCCTTCCAAACACTCGGCACCAAGGCCCTGGTCTGCACTCAGCTGGTGGGGCTGGGCTGAGCTCCCGCCCACCAGCTGACAAGCCTCCTCTGGACCATCTCTGCCATTTTACAGATGGGGAAACCAAGGGCCAGGGTGGCAACAGTGCTTCCAGAGAGCCTACAGCTGGCCTGGCTGTGTGGACTCTTCCTCACCACCCCCTGAGGCCCTCCTGCCTCAGTCTGGAGGAGGGATGGAGCTCTGGCCAGCTGTTCGGGTTCGGGCAGACCTGAGCGTGAGTCCAGCTTGGCCATGTCCCGCCTCCAGGCACTGTCCGCTCACCTGGAGCCCTGGCTGTCCCATGGGGCCTTGGAGGGTGTCACCACCTGACTTTGGTCTGCTCTTCACTGGTCCTACTGCCCTGGTGGACTCCTGTGCACCCTTGAAACCCACTGGAAACCTGCCTAAATCGTGAGCCCAGGAATGCTCCCCACTTCCTAACTCCAGCTCAGGCACTCAGCAGCCCTCCCCTGACGGGGGAATTCCTTGTCCATTGCCCCCAGGAAACCCACCAGCCCCCGCCTCAGGGAGTCCTAGGCCTGGCCCTGCCACTCACCTCTCTGGACAGTCTTGGATTCATGCTGTGAGGACAGACACATGACGTCACGCCGACTCAGTTTCCCCAGCTCTGAAATGGAGATGGTAAATGTTGGGCAGGTGTTGAGCCCGGGTGTCCTGAGCTGCCCAGAGGAAGGGCAGCTGGTAGGAGAGCTAGGGGTGGTACCTACCCTGGGCCTCTGCAGCCCCACTTCCCACTTTAGGGGCCCAGATGCCATCCACAGACCCTTGGTCTAGCCTCTCACCAGGCCCGGAAGCCAGGCTGCTGCTGTGGGTAGACTCCTGCCAGGCTGTGGGGTCTGGGGAAATGTGCCCAGCGGGGGCTGAAGCCAGGTTGCCTGGGGAACCAGTGCTCCCAGGGGGCCTACTGCTGCTTCCAAGGCCCCATGACACCCCTGCCCACAGCTCCACCCAAGCCCCCATTGCTTTCACTCAGCATTTTCTTTCATCCTTTGGGCCTCAGTTTCCCCACATGTGTCTTGGGAAATGACAGATGGCAGATTTGGAGGCAAGGAAAGGAGAGGGTATCCAGGCACTTAGTTAGGATTAAGTGGAGAGAAGAGGTGGTCAGTGGAACATGGGGGGCCAGAGTGGGGAGGAAGGCCACAAGACCCCCGTCTGTCACCTCCAGAGGCAGAGTGAGGTTAGGGCCTCACCAGACCAAGTGGAGGAGCCAGGATTTGAATGGGGGCAGGACGCCACCGTGTGAGTGGAGGCTCCCTGTGCCTGGGGCCTGAGTGCTGGCCACCACCTGCTGTCTGTCCTCTCCAGTCCACACTGACCCTCAACCCCTGTCCCAGGCTCTGGCTCCCCACCTGTCAAGTGAGGTCCTTTTGAGCCCACGGCACTGGGGTGGCCTGAGTGGAGTCCCTGCCCCCTCCCAGCCTTAGGCAGCATCCCAGGCACACAGAGCCCACTTCCTAGGCCTCTCTGAGGAAGGTCAACGGCCGAGAACTAAGGCTATGGATTACCAGAAACCTGTCCCATCCTCAACCCCAGACCCTCTGACCACAGAATCTCCCGTGGGGCCCCTCCCAGGCCTGTGACCCGGCCAGAGGCTGGAGGTAGACAGGCTCAAAACCAGGCCCCCTCCTCGAAGTCCATGGAAGCCCGTGCGATGTCCCCCAGCACCCCAGGATGGAGCTCACCCACCTTTCCACAAGCAAGGGCAGGCGAGGGCAGGAGGT